CAATGAATATTGTCGATATATACATGAATCATTTTTATAAATCAATATAATAATATATAATAAGATTTTACTCTGAACAAGAAATTTACCACTCTCTTATCAAGATACACATCTTTGAACTTGTCAAACCTACATCTCAATATCAGTAGTAATATCAGTACTAAAACGCTATTAACTAAGAGGAATTATTCCAATAAAAGACTGTGAGAATATAGGAGTTTATTGACATTATAGTTCATCATTTATTAGTTCGTTTACAACCTAATCAAGTTCGCATAGACTGATACGTCCAACAGTAAGACATAAGATCACAGTCAACGTTTTTCGACGTCGTTCAGCAGTTTCCAGTCGTAACATCGATGTGGCGAATACGATATACATACATTTCTACGTACACACACACATACACACACAGACACACATATGTATGTATATATGTATGTATGTATATGAGATGACGGAGGAGGAGGAGTAGGAAGAGGAGGAGGAAGAGTAGGAGGAAGAGGAAGAGGAGGAGGAAGAGGAGGAGGAGGAGGAGGAGGAGGAGGAGGAGGAGGAGGAGGAGGAGGAGGTGGTGGAGGAGGGGGAGGAGGGGGAGGAGGAAGAGGAGGTGGTGGTGGTAGTAATGGTGGTGGTAGTGGAGGAAGAGGAGGAGGAGGGGGAGGAGGAGGAGGAGGAGGAGGAGGAGGAGGAGGAGGAGGAGGAGGAGGAGGAGGAGGAGGAGGAGGTGGTGGTGGTGGTGGTGGTAGTGGTTGTAGTGGAGGAGGAGGAAGAGGTCGAGGAGGAGGAGGAGGAAGAAGAGGAGGAAGAGGAGAAGGAGGAGGAGGAGGAGGAGGAGGAGGAGGAGGTGGTGGTAGTTGTTGTAGTGGAGGAGGAGGAAGAGGTCGAGGAGGAGGAGGAGGAGGAGGAGGAGGAGGAGGAGGAGGAGGAGGTGGTGGTGGTAGTCGTTGTATTTAAGGAGGAGGAAGAGGAGGAGGAGGAGGAGGAGGAGGAGGAGGAGGAGGTGGTGGTAGTGGTTGTAGTGGAGGAGGAGGAAGAGGTCGAGGAGGAGGAGGAGGAGGAGGAGGAGGAGGAGGAAGAGGAAGAGGAGGTGGTGGAGGAGGGGGAGGAGGGGGAGGAGGAAGAGGAGGTGGTGGTGGTAGTAGTGGTGGTGGTAGTGGAGGAGGAGGAGGGGGAGGGGGAGGGGGAGGAGGAGGAGGAGGAGGTGGTGGTGGTAGTGGTTGTAGTGGAGGAGGAGGAAGAGGTCGAGGAGGAGGTCAAGGAGGAGGAGGAGGAGGAGGAGGAGGAGGAGGAGGAGGAGGAGGAGGAAGAGGAGGTGGTGGTGGTAGTAGTGGTGGTGGTAGTGGAGGAAGAGGAGGGGGAGGAGGAGGAGGAGGAGGAGGAGGAGGAGGAGGAGGAGGAGGAGGAGGAGGAAGAGGAGGTGGTGGTGGTAGTAGTGGTGGTGGTAGTGGAGGAAGAGGAGGGGGAGGAGGAGGAGGAGGAGGAGGAGGAGGAGGAGGAGGAGGAGGAGGAGGAGGAGGAGGAGGTGGAGGTGGTGGTGGTAGTGGTTGTAGTGGATGAGGAGGAAGAGGTCGAGGAGGAGGAGGAGGAGGAGGAGGAGGAGGAGGAGGAGGAGGAGGAGGAGGAGGAGGAGGAGGAAGAGGAGGAGGAGGAGGTGGTGTTGGAGGAGGAATAGCAGGAGGAATTGGAGAAGAAGAAGAAGGAGGAGGAAAAGATGAAGAAGGAGAAGGAGTAGGAAAAGGAGAAGGTGAATGTGAAGAACAGGAAGAAGAAAGAGAAAAAGGATGAGGAAGAGAAGGAAGACGGAATGGCACGTTAATGCATAATGTCTTTCTCTGTGATGACGTCTCTTACATTTCTCTCACGCATGATTACACTTTTTTCCTAGCAGCAAAATAAACCTTCACCTCCCTTGCCTCTATCCTGCCTAGATAAACGAAGACGAAGGATTTGCCGATGAGCCAAAGCCAGGAGATACGAGCATGCATCCCGAAGCACTCTCTCGCAGCATCCAAGATCCTTAGGAATTCCTGCTTGTGAGTCTGCGGGGTTTTTAAGTATGGCGGGGACATCGTCAGGAGGTCCCCGGCTGCCGTGCCTGGCGTGCAAAGACCCCCGGATGACGGCGGGGAGCACGTAAGCAGGCACGGCCACACACTCCATACTGACGACGGGGGTTGTGAAAGTAACCAGTTATATAGAGGGAGGCTCTTAACACACACAAACCAGGGCGGACCTTCCCGAGGTGCTGTCCTCCCAGACGTCTAACCGAGGAGTTTGGAAGCTTTGTCTCCGCGGAGGGGTTTCTATGCCTGTGAACTATCCCGAGGAAGTCCTATTGTGCTACAAATCGGGGCTAGTTTAACACGTGCAACAGGGCTACAAGGGTAGTCCAGTAACGAGTGAATAAGCTTAAGAGTCGAGAGCGAATTATCGGCTTTGTGCTACAGGAATAAGTGTGGTTGTTTTATAAGGCATCGCGTCCTTGTAGTTATCGTTC